CCCCACCGTGTAGCCCCCTAGGAACAAGGGCAGAGGCAGTGGTGGTGGGAGGGGCTGGTCAGGAGTTAGGAGCCAGAGCCGACCCCAGCCCTCCCCACCTTGCCAGAGACCCCTCCAGGGACCCCAAGGACACCACCCTGTAGGCACCTGATGCTCCGCCCAGTGCCTTCCCCAGCGTGGAGTTGATGATGGTGACCTGGTCCATCACACCCAGCAGCTCATCCGCCCCCCGCAAGAGAACCCTGCCACTGCCATCCCTGGCCTCTCGGCGCCCCACCCACCCTCGGAAGCTCCACCCCACGCTCAGGAGATCTGTGCACCCACCGGCCGGTGGGCCCCAGGAAGCCAGTGGCATGGCACTCGTCCACAAAGACCAGGGCGCCATATCGGGAGGCGAGACGGCAGATCTCCTGCAGAGGTGCGACGTCGCCGTCCATGGAGAAGGCCCCATCCGTGGCCACCAGGCGCAGCCGATGCTTCTGCAGGGAAGACGCGAGCTCGTGGCGAGCAGTGTCACAAGTTGGGTCAAGCCACCCAGGCTCTGAGAGCTCAGGAGTGGGCACGCCGGCACTTCTACCACCTGGCTCCTCTGAGTCTTCCCCCCCTTCCACACAGCCTGGAAGGTGAGAAGGGGCTCAGGTCTCACCCTCCTGTGTAAGGTTCTGGAGAGCAGGCTGGGTGAGCTCTCACCCACTCACCCACTCCACCCTTATGCCTAACCGGGGCCTGCCATGGGGAAGGTGCGTGCTAAACCTCAAGGCACCACAGTGCAATGGAACAGGCTTTGGGTCTAAGGGATCTGGGTTCAAGTTTCAGCTGTTTCAGACCTTCAGGCTGTGTGTCAATGAGGAGGAATTCGCTTCTCCAATCCTCACTTCCTCTGCTGTGGGATGGGGGAGCAGAGGGGAAGCCCAGACAGTGCCCCAGGACACCGCCCCACCTGGGCCTCCTGCAGCTTGGCCTCTAGGTCAGCCATGTCCAGGTGGCGGTAGCGGAACTTGTGGGCCTTGCACAGACGGATGCCATCGATGATGGAGGCGTGGTTCAGCTCGTCTGACAGGACTGCGTCCTCAGGGGTCAGCAGGGCCTGGAGGGAGTCAGGGCAGAGCCGTCGCCCACCACTTTGGGATTCGCGCTCCCCCATGACTACCTCTGAGTCAAAACAGTTTTTAAAGAATTATTTTATTTAACTTTATTTATTTTCATTTGACCAGAGAGGGACTTGAACCACAGTCGGTCATGTGGGAGTCCAGCATCCTTAACCACCATACCACCTGCCAGCCCCTCTGAGTCAAAACTTAACTGCCAGCCAGGGCACTCCTCTGGGCAGGGAGGCAAGGTGCTCCCTGCCTCTCTCTGAGTCCCCAGGACTGGGCTGGACCAGGGGCCTGCTCTGCTGGGAGCAGATGAAAACATGATGAGTGAATATTAGACCCCTGCCACCCGTAGTCTTTTTTTTTTTAAAGAATTATCTTATTTAACTTATTTATTTATTTATTTTAGTTTGACCAGAGAGAGAGAGAAAGAGAGAGAGAAAGCAAGCCGCCAGGTCTGGGACTTGAACTGTGGTTGGCCATGTGAGAGTCCAGCTCTCTTAACCACCATGTCACCTACCAGTCCCCCCCCCCTAGTCTTTTAGTTGATGCAGGTCACTTCCCAAACACTCTGGAAGCTGGACTCCTTGCAAGCCCCAGGATTCTTCTGAGAGCATCTTTTTGGTGCAACCTTGACCACCATAAGAAATGGCACTGGCACCTCAAGGCATGACACTGGCATCCTGCCAGGTCCTCCTGACTGCCCATCCCTAGCTCGCACAGTCCAGCAGGCCCACCGACTCCCACCCCCCAGCCTCAAACACCTCAAAGAGGCCAGTGTTGGCATCGAAACAGCTGGGGTACAGGATGGCATCCTCCCGCTGGTGGAAGCAGGCTATCTTGGCTTCTAGATTCTTGTGGATGCTCTAAAGAAGGTAAGCGAGAGACAGTCGTTAATGCCTGTGTGGCCATGCCGGACAGGCCTGCAGACAGAGGCTCAGAGGGCCACACACGGGCCCGACCCAGAAGGCCTGCAGTCTCAGCCCTCCCCATCTTTCTGCACCACACGTGTTACCCCTGAGCCAACGGGATTCTGGCTGCTGATTCCCAGTGAGAACTTAGCGACGTGCTCAGTTTCCCCTGCGGTGGATTTTCATTTCATAAGGAAGGGCTAATGGCAGAATTACAGGTGCTGATGGGGAAGGAAAATGTACCTTCCTAATATCAGACCGAGTGCCTTTCTGGGTTATCTAACGGCAAAGTGGATGACATAAGTGAGTTCCTTGGGGCCTCTAATCTTAGACTTGAGAGCCGCTCTGTCTGGGGGCAAGTTTCTGCCAGTGTCTGGATGAGCTCAGGAGTCCTGCCTCTCACGTTCATCTCACCATCACCTACATGAGAGGACACCACAAGAAGACGAGGGTATGAGCCCTCGAGCCAGACTACCGGGGCTCAAACAGCACAGCAGGCTGCGTGCCTCAGCATCCCCATCTCAATAACAGAAATGAGACTAGCACCTACCACTGGGCTCATGTACATGCGCGCCCAAAATCCTTAGAGGAGAATGAGAAGGGATTGTGGTGTGGCTATCCCCCCTGGAGGTGATTTCTCACTTTCCCTCTCTGTCACTCTCCTTGCCCCTGTCTCCAGCAAGTGCATGTGCCCTATAGCAAAAATTTTTTAAAAAGCACCTACCATTTGGGGTTGTTATGAAGATTAATGAGTTAACACTTGTAATTTTTTTTAGTTTTTTTGCCACAGGGCACGTGTGCTCACTGGAGAGAGGGGAAGCGAGGAATCCACCCTGGGGAGGATGGCCACACCACAATCCCTTCTCCTCTATTCTCCTCTTGGGATTTTGGAAACACACACATATGTACCCAGCATAATTTATTTTTTATTTAACTTTATTTATTTACTTATTTTAATTTTATCAGACAGGGACAGAGAGAGAGAGAGAAGGAAAAGAGAGAAAGCAAGCTGCCAAGTCCGGGACACAAATGGTGGTTGGCCATGTGGGAGTCCAGCACCCTTAACCACCCTTAACACTAACTGCCAGCCTTACGGTTTTTTGTTTGTTTGTTTTTGTTTTTTAAGATTTTTGCTATAGAGTGCCTACACTTGCCAGAGAGGCAGAGACAGACAGTCAGAAAGGAAGAAATTATCCCTCTAGAGGGATGGCCATGTGGCAATCCTCTCTCTTCCATTTTCCTCTCAGGATTTTGGGCACATACACACAAACACATGCACACACACGCGTGCACACACACCTGGCCTGAGTTTCAAGCCACTGGGTCTGGGACTCGAACCACAGTTGAGCATATGGGAGTCCAACAACATAACCACTATGACGTATGCTAGTCCCATGTATTTATTTATTTTTAAAGAATTATTTAATTTTGTTTATTATTATTATTTTAATTTGCTATAGGGTATATACACTTACCAAAGAAAGACAGAGAGAGAGAGAGAGAGAGAGTGAGAAAGCAAGCCACCAGGTCTGGGACTTGAATTGTGGTCGACCACATGGGAGTCCAGAACCTTAACCACCACACCACCTGCTGGCCCTTACTTACTTACTTTTCATTTCCTTTAGGGTGCTGTGCTCACTGGAGAGAGGTGGAGAGAGAAAAGTGAGAAAGCAAAAGCACCCCAAAGGGGGATGGCCACACCACAATCCTTGCTCTTCCATTCTCCTCTCGGGATTTTGGGCATGCACTTGCACATGCCCAGTGTTCTTTTCAAGCTACTGGGTCTGGGACACGAACTGCATAGTGGGCCTTGTGGGGTCCAGCTGCCTTAACTACTATGCCACCAGCTGTTCCATGTTCTAAGTATTTTTACAGGTATTAAGTCTTTAACTCGCAATGATCCTATCAAGTGTCATTACCCCCACTGTATCAATGAAGGGATTCAAGCACAGAGAGGTTAAGACTCTTGTCTTAACAGAGCCAATACATGGCAGCATTGGAAGCCAAGCTCAGGGAGAAATGCTCCAGAACCATCTCAAGGCCTGCCTTCTTCTTCCTGTAGAGGGACAGGTGTGAGGAACTCGGTCCTGCAGGTGGAGAAATGGGTGCCGAGATGCGTAAACTTTCTGGCCTGCGGCTTCTCAGCAAAGGAGGCCCTCACCCCGCCTTCCTATTGCACAGCTCTGGGAGCTGACAGAAGGCCCAGAGCCCTGGAAGAGCTGAGCCAGGTCATCCAGCCCTGCTGACTGTCGGTGCAGAAAGCTGGGGATAGTGTCTCTCCCCAACACCCAGTGTTTACCTGGGTCCCACAGATGAAGCGGACAGAGCTGAGGCCAGCTCCAAACTCCTCCAGAGCCTGAAGACCTGCCTGGATCACCTCGGGATGGCTGCTCAGGCCCAAGTAGTTGTTGGCACAGAAGTTAAGGATTCCTGAGGTGGAGGAGAGGACATGGACACGGGGGCTGAAGCAGGGCCCGGAAAGACGACTATGCTGAGCCCTGGGTTCACCCTGGAGAAGGCAACAACCACACAGCATAGTCCACTCTAGGACAGAGGTCAGGATGGGGAGCCAGGGCCCCAGGAGACACCTCTCACTGCGCTACCCTGAAGGGTGGGAAGTTGAAACTCTGGCTTCGAATCACAATGTACCTAGTACCTAGGGAAGAATCCAGCCCCTCCTCCCAGGCTTCTGTCCTTGAAGACCACCCCGAGCTCCCTCTAGGGTAAAAGCAGAAGGCTGCAGTGCCCAAATCCCACACTTGACTTCGTGGCTGGTAATGGCATTCCCAGAGGGCATTCCTCTGAGATCCCAGGCCCGGAACTATAAAGCCCAAAGTGGACACAGCTGAGGGGGGGGGACTGAGGCCAGGGGAAGGGAAGGTTCACAAACCTGGAGGAGGCAAAAGCAGTACAAGGACTTGGGTCTCCTAATTTCCCATTTTTCGACCTGTTCCAAGCTTCCCCTGGGGAAGGCAGAGGTTTGCTGGGACCTCTATTTTACAAGTGGGTACAGCAACACCAAGAATTCCATGCCTATTTCGTGAAGCCCTGTTGGTAACAGGCACCTGCCTTGGGCTGTGACCAGTGGCCAGAATGAAATGGAGGAGACCGCAGGAGCCAATCCACTGTGTCTCTGCAGCAGCCCAGAACCGCTCGCTGGTGTGACTTAACCAGAAAGCTGGTCTCTGGCAGTTGGTCAGCCTTCCAGCTCTGTGAGTCCAGCTCTGCCTGGCTAGGGGCTTTAAGGCAAGCCCTTAATGTCTGTCAGCTTCATCCTCTGTAAAATGCGATTGGTCCTAATGTTCCCAAGTTAGCAGGAGTCCACATGCAGCAATTAGTAAGGGCCTTCACAAAGCAACCGCTCAAGAAATGCGGGTTTTCTTGCTGCAGCCTTCCCAACACCCTTCCCCAAGGCGGCACTGTGAGCGCCAGCTGGGTGTCTTTTTCTTTTTCTCACGTTCTCTTTTGGGCTGGGCCCTGACCCAACCTGCTCTCCTAGCCAAGGTGCCCAAGGGCAAATCACCTCCGTCGGTCCAAACGGGTTTAATCAGGTTAGAAGCCACAAAGTCTGCCCGAGAGATGGGACCGGAATCAGCGGCCACGCGTGCAGATGCCTCCCAACCCGGCCTCCGAACACCCTCCCATGAACAACAACTCCCGGGAGGGAGAGTTACCTCCAGAGACGCCGTCCACGTGGATGTGCGGCCCCTGCCGGGACCTGATGATCCGCTCACTTTTCCAGGTGCCGGCTTGGCGGATCCCTTCCAGCTCTCCTTCCAGGATGTCGCGCAGCTGGGCCAGCGCGGACTGCGCGCGGCGACCACGCGTGGCCCCTGAGAACGCGGCGCGCCAGACCCTACCTGCCCACATCACACCCACCAGAGGTGGGTGGGCGGGGCCTGGCAGGCTCAGCCAGGGAGGAAAGTGGATTGATTTGTAAGTTTAGGACTGCGGAGATCCGTGTGGGGGCAGGGGAAGGGGCGGAGGAATTCGAGGCAGGGCCCAGCCCTCGCTCCATGCCCACTCTCTGCTTACCTCCCACCCATCTCTTGGGTCCCCCACAGAGC